GTATAAAGACTGCAAAGGCTGAAAAAGTCTGTATGAAATTGAAGGTAGTTTGAGGATTCAATTTTTTATGCTTTAAGCTAAAAAAGGGGGTGGGGGGAGTCATGTTATACATGAGATTGTATTATACACAAATATATACAGTAAATACTCTTCACAAAAGTTGACACGATGACCAGAAGCTTGTTGGTCTCATTTCGTGTTTTTTGATTCCTGCAGGGSTTTGCCTTCATCAGTTTCCACCGTCGGGAGGATGCAGCCAGAGCCATTGCAGGAGTGTCAGGATTTGGATATGATCATCTTATTCTCAATGTTGAATGGGCCAAGTAAGTTAGTTCTCATTGTTGTCAGTTGCATGATTAGTATGTTCTTGTTCTAACGTAACATTTTCTCTTCACAGGCCATCAAACAACTGAGGAATCTCATCAAAAACCTTTCAGAAAAATGCCAGATTTTATGATAAAATGTGGTTACTTAAATAAAGATAATGAATTCACTTTTTCTTTGTTTTACTCTTGAGTCTTTAGTGGGGACTAAAGGTAATAAATTCTCTTTTAACACATTAAAATTCCCACCATCTGCAGTACTGACAATGAAACAAGCCTCCTCGATTCACTGATCTGCAGATCTTACAGCACAGCTGCATAAGACTGAGTGTCATTACAGTTTAATAAGATCTGAAATACTAGATTAAAATGCAGACAGCTTAAAGTGCCTGTGACATCAAATTTTTGTAATAAACATGAATGCATTTTTGGAAACATAACACATAACATATTGCAAAACAAATTTCATGTTGCTGAGATGAACGGTTGAGATATTTGCACGTGAAGAAACAGGAAGTGATGTCAAAGGGTAATGTCAGCATGTAAACAGCAGTGTTACAAAACCTAACAGACGAGAAGAATCTGATGTTTATTTAGATTTTTAGTCGCCATCAAAGAGACAAAGAAGAGTTAAGTTTAAATTATGTTTTAAGACAAGCAAGTTTGAGTTCTCCTTGGATAGTACTTCCTGTTTCACTTTGGCYGAGACAAATTCAAATGAAAAAAGGTCAGTTATGTGACAAAATGTGTTAAATCATGTGTATTATGCCAATTTTCTTAAGTATAAAGGTGCTTACAGACTTTGTGTATTTGAAGGATAGACATGTCACAGGCACTTTAAGGTATACAGTTGAAGGGGCAACAAGTTAAGCCTACAAATTTAAGACAAATGTACACAAGTGTAAGTGGACCTCTAATTTAGGTACTACTTTAAATAAAAGCAACTGGCCTTGCCTGTACTTACCAAATAAAGAAAAAAGATGCAGTTGCTACAGCCTGCAGTTAAAATTGAGGCTTTTCTACAAAAGTGCATATTTTAAGCAATTATTGGTGCCTTTGTAAATAAAAAATACAAATTGACCAAAAAATGATTTAAGTGTCAACCTATATGACCTAAAAAAAAGGACATCAAATTTATTCTTAAACACTTAAGATCCCCCACCCCCTTAACTCCTGTTTATACAAAAATCAAATGAGTGATTTTCTATTACTACACAATACAGTATCAGCCTAAAGCTTGAAAACTTCAAACGTGTAGACAAATTTAATTTGCTGTTGTAAATTCTGGACCTTTGACCTACAAATGAACTCAGATGCGTACAGCTGCTATAATCGAGGTTATCTATTATCAAGTTACACGTACAATTACGTAAGAGCTTTATTTGGAATTTTACATATAAAACTACATAAAATTTGTTCCACATTAAACAGCAAGATTAAGAGCACAGTCAAAACTTGACATGGAATGGTTACTACATGGAACACAGTGGCCACTTAGTGACAGCTGACGGCCAATTCATGGGAAAAAAATAAAATCCCCAACGTCACAATTGCTAGAACTGGGGCAGGAACGGATTTAATCAGAGACTTCCATCTTTTCCTGTTTGAAGTTGTCTGCAGAGAAGAGAACACATTTTAGACCCAACTRTTTCAGTGATAAACRTMAATTAGGAACTASTACAAATAAAATAAAGCACCTGCTGCCTGTTCTTCCTTCATCCTCTCCAGGACACATTTCTTTAGCTCCAGCCCGATGGCTCTGGAGAGTGGAGGAGGAACCGCATTTCCAACCTGACAAACAGCAACAAGTTATTTCACCAAATGGAGGACAATCAAATAAAAGCCAAATTAAGTTATTTGCATAAACGTTTTGTGTTGAACTGATGAACCATGATGAGAAAATGAACCTGTCTGTGTTTGTCCAGAATATTTCCAAAGAAGCGGTAAGTGTCGGGGAATCCCTGAGAGCGTGCGCACTCCCTCACACTGACCACCCTGTGCTGCTCCGCGTGCAGGACACGACCCTGTAATTAAACGTTGGGGTTAACATCCAGACCGATCACCAGAACTGCTGTTTTATACAAAAAAACATCTATTTAAACAAGTGACTTGTGCTAATAATCCCAAACATTTCTCCTGACTGAACAACTTTCAACAGCTGCTGTACCTGTTTGCCCATGGGCTCAGGGTTGGTGACAGTTGTGCTGAAGAAGCCGTCCCACTCCAACCTGCCGTACAGTCCGGCCCAGTGGTTGTGGCGGTTCCCAGTGTGGGGCAGACACCAGGGGATCAGGGTGTTGAACTGCCTGTCTGCAGAGTCGCAAGGCTTCCCTAAAAGGACGTACGAAACATAAAGATGCACGTCCGGTCTGTAGCTCGGCCTTTTCCAGTTGTCATAAACTGTCCGCACGTACCTCCTGCGCAGGTGCAGACGCCTCTGAGCGCACCGGTGCCGCTGCGGCCGTTCTTCTTATCGTGGTGTGTGTAGCGCAGCTTCTTRGTCATGTTGCCGTCTTTCATCCGAACCTCGATGTTGGGGAGGTCTCTCCAGTCGGAGCCTGGAGCCARAGGGATGTGACGCATTCTGGCCTCGACCAGAGCGCTCATGTCCTGAGAACATAAAACACGTTCATTTGAAAAAAAAATGTATTTGGTATTGAAATATCTCACAAACCACTGGACAATTTTTAATTAAACATTCAGGAAATAACCAGTGGCAGTGCCTCTACAACTCTAGAACTAAACAACTRTCATTTTTACAGACACTACGATAAAAACTGATGCAACAGTAGCTAAAAGTCATAACATTTCACAGTATTGCATGAGACCATGCATAGTGTAGAGGTCACCTCGAGTGAAATAATCAAGGAAACTGTCTTGGACCTCAGATCTCTGATGGGCCTTTAAAGAGACAAAATAAAAAACTGTTCCACTTAGAACTGAATTTAGGCCACCTCAGGTCGCCTTAACTTTTCAAAGAGACATTCGCTCTTTCTTAAATCAGATAATAAACAGAAGAATCTTCTTATTTGATTTATTGTTCTCTTAACTGAAAATTATTATGCATTTTGATAATCAGAGAATGTTTATCAAAGTTAAAGGAGAAAAGAGGACAGATCTCTTTTCTACCTCAGTATGATTTCAGCTATGTATGGATTTTCTGTGCAAAAATCTTTACATACCTAAACTCATCTTTATGGTTACACTTAAGTTATTTGCCTCAAATGTCTGGTATTCAACATCTAAACTTGACGTTTGTGTTCTATTTAAGTGTCTGATTGACAACGAAGCTCGAAGCGCTTGTTATTGTTAGTTATAAGCTTTTGTAGGAAACTGATTGCTCACAGTTAAGTGTACTGTAGTGATTTTGTCTGATTATGTAAAATAAATGATCGCATTTATTTATGGATCAAATCAAAATTCACTGACTGAAGCTACTTATAGTGTGTCCATTCACTTTGCACCGAAKAATGTTTTACCAAAAATAAAGTGATCCTTGCTAAAATAAATTCCTTTTATTCCTTGTTATAAGAAGTGTAAGGTTAAACCCTTACAATAGCACATGTATTTCTTCGAAGAATGGTAGTAATTTAGGAAGAAACTGTAGCACAGCAGCACAGCTCACCTTGCAGATGTGGTCTCTTAGGATGGGTTGATACTGCGTGCCTCTGATCTGCCTCTGGAACCACGACTGCGGYTCCCCGTTGTAGGAGATCTCCAAAGCCGCAGCCCCGTTGCGAATCTCCGGCAGATCGGACATGGTGTCTCTGACCGTGATGGTTCTGTAGATCCCACCGTTGCCTCTGTTGCAGGAAAAGTTCACTCTAAAAAGCTGCAGCGAGGCTGACGCATTTTGTGGCWGTTTGTGAAATTTAAACAGCGCTGTATAGACCCGAGATCGAAATTACCGTGTGACGTTGCTCACGTATTTCTTCTCATCCACTACCACGCTCAGCTGGCAGGCTCTGGGAGCGAACACGTGGAGGGGTTCRGGGAAGCGGGGCAGCTTCTCTCCTGGAGCGGCGGCCAGGACGATTGCCCTGCGGCGGGTCTGGGCGACGCCGTACTGRCCGGCCTGACGAGCACAGCAAGCCTTAACCATCTGGTTCTGCCTCATCGCAACAGTTTYACACAAACGAATCCCCGACTCACCTGCAGCACCCCGAACGTACACTGGTAACCCATTCTCACAAGACAGCGCAAAGTCAGCTTCAGGACCATGGAGTTTTTGAAAGAAACAAAGTTCCTCACGTTCTCCAGCAGGAAAAACTTTGGTCTGTAATAGTCGCAGTAACTGCAAAGAAAAAGACCCGTCGTTTAAACAGAACCTGCGAGGGGAAGATTATCAACGTGTGCTCCGAGCAGCACGGTTACAGCAAACGCTCACCTCAAATAAGACACCACGAGGGAGTTCTTGAATTTGGAATACGTCCGAGAGTTGAAGCGGTTCATCCCACTGAAACCCTGACAGGGCGGTCCGCCGCACAGCATCTCCACATCCCCCTTCTGCGGCAGCTTCTGGCCCAGAGAGTTGGTCCTCTCTCCCGACATGACCAGCTTCAGCAAGACGTTACAGTCCTCCGTGAACACCGTGGTGCCGGGATTGTTGAGCCTGAAGGCTTGTGCTGCAGGTTCCCACATCTCTATAGCCCACAGCGTCTCAGAGATACCTGAAGACAACAAGAAGCTGTCTCCTAAACAAATCGGCTCGGTGCATTTGGGAGCATTTTGAAACTGGAAAAGCATTTACCCGCCTGGTGGAAGCCCTCAGAAAGCCCACCGCAGCCGGAGAACACGTCCAGAGTGCGATATTTGGACACTTTAGGTGGTTCTGCTTGACTTTCCTGTGGTTCCTGCACRGCCTTTCCTTTGCCTTTACCTGACGAGAGCGACGACCACGTATTTGTGAGTCAAGGTCGAATTTGAGTTGAAATTTTCAGCATAAAGCCATTTAGAACCAACCTTTTCCTTTGCCCTTTCCTTTTCCTTTATGAACAGTAGAGCGAGCATGATTTGGAGGATCTTCAAAGCTTTTTGATTTGGCATTGTATGCCTGTGAGGGAGAAAGAACAAAGAACAAAAATAAATATACTCATGTTTTATTCAAGGTAAGAACATCAAGTATCCMGTTTGAAAGAATAACTACACACTGAGCAAACATAGCAGCTGATACAGACAAATCTAAAACAAACTAGGTATTATTAATAATTATACCTCCAAGAAATAGAAGCGGTCCGGTCCACCACTGGAATAGTCCTGGACTGATTCGATGAGGTCCTCTGCATACTCGACCTGGCAGCGTCCGAGCACGTCCGACATGCAGACGGTAACTTCCTCGTCGCTCCAGTAGAGCTGATTGATGTCCGTGTGGTAACTGGCTTTGACGCCCTTGTGCGTGTTCTCCGGCCTGGTCGACGACACAAAGCTTGATTCAGTTCTGAGCTCGTTTACGTTAAGAAACTAAAACCCTCGAGCACCGGCCCGGTAACCACACCTGTAGAACTTGTAGAGTCTCAGTTTGACTTCTGTGCTGTCGGGCTTYCCGTTGCTACGCCGGTGACAGAAGATCTCTTTGATGCGCCCGATACGGAACGGCTGCGGAGCGTCCAGGTTGGACCCCTTAATGTAGTCTGAGGACTTCCTGTAATACTCCGGGTACAGGTCCTCATCCACRTCCTCCTTCCTGTGGGAGCGCTTCACTGGACTGGCTGGCTTCACACTGACAACCAAACRCAGAGGAAGTAAATCTCAGCTTTATTTTACTTTCATACAACCGTTTCACATCCAGCTTCCCGTAAACTACAAATAATAATAAACAGTGGTAGGTACTGGAGCTGTTGCAGTCAGAATGTAGCACTGCACAGGTCCAAGTACAAATAAAAACCTTCTCTCACCTGAAATGAAACGTTTCTGGGGGCAGGTAGACACTGTCCCCMACCCTGAACTGCTGTCCCTTGAAGCAAGCCAAAGCATAAAGGGCTTTGTTGTCGTTGTCTTCGTTCTCCAGGGGTTCAAAGGCACGAGGTACTTCCTGATCGTTTTTCTCCTTAATACGAGCACAGCTGCCACAGAACCTGGAAGAGAAAACAAAGGCAAGTTAAAGAAAAACACGAARACTAAACCAGGATTCCTACAGTTTAAGCCAAGTTAAATTTAAGACCTTTTAAGACTTTTTAATGCCAAGCGAAATTAAATTTAAGACCGATTTCATAGTAAACACAAATGACAAAAACTGGCAGAAACTCATGAATCAAAGTATTTTTGCTTGAAGTATTCAAATATTGCTAACAGACCAATTGTTTTTGTCCATATCGAACTATAGCAGAAACGTTCTTAGCAATCAGTTTTAAACTTAAAATCCTCTAACAACCCAAAATTTGGAGTTTTATGACCCACAGTGGGGTCTTAACCCCAATTTGCTGTAGATGAAACCTTGAAGTGCCTGTGACATCAAGTTTTTGTAAGAAAAGTGAATGCATTTTTGGAAAGACAACATTAGTAACATATTACAAAACAAATTTCACGTTGCTCAGATGAACAGTTGAGATATTTGCATGTGAAATAACAGGAGGTGATGTCACAGAGGAATGTCTGCATGTGAATATTAAAAAAAATGTTACCAATTATTTTAATATTTGAGATGAATTACAACCATCCTATTTACAACGTGTTAACATTTTTAAGACCTCTGAAATGTTGATTGAAGATATTTTAAGGCTAATTAAGGCCTTATTTTCGGATTGATGAATTCAATGACTTTTAAGACTTAAGCATCTGCAGGAACCCTGTAAACAGAGTAGTAAACTTAAACTGAACTTACCTGAACTTGCACTCTTCTGATGGACAGGTCTGAGGGGGAGTCTCGAATCGAGCAAAGTCAAGATCATACCAGAACTGGTAGAAGAAACTCTTCCCATCATCCTCAATCACTTTCACATCAACATCCATCCCTCCCTAAAAAATAAAAATCTAAATCAATAAATGTAACTAAAATAAAGTTCAAAACAAAATGGCATTCCTAATCTAAACTCACCTCCATGGACCAGTTGTTGGACGGGGGCTTGTACGTGATATTCACTTTTCCTTGGACGTAATTGAGCAGCATGTCTTCACAGTCGTCCACAACCACCAGCTCCAGTGGATCAGAGGACTCTCCGAGCACCGTGTGAATCCCACGAAGGAACCAGTGGGCGTGGAACATTTTCCCGTTGTTGTCTTCCCACAGTGAAGTGATCCTGACACAGAAACCCTCRTCAGGTCTACTGTCAAAGAATTCATGTCAGGACTAAATGTCATTCAGCAGGTTAATACCTGGCCAAATACAGGGGGATGGACGGGTCATCTGATGAAACTGAGACACAGTCTCCAACTTCCAGCACTTCATCGTTCACAGAGACCTTCTTGTAGAACTGCTTCTTTCCCACAGTCTAAGAATTAAAGAGAAGAGATAAATATAAATCATAAACAAATAAATAAGACACCAAACAAGAGGACCGCGTACCTCAATGGACTCTCCGATCCATGCGAGTCTGGACTGGGTCTGCTTCTTCCTCTTAGCATTGAGAACCTTTTTAGGCTTTGCTTCTTGAACATCTTCCTCTTCGATATTCTCATCATCCTCAGCCTCCTTTACAGCGAGGTTTGGGCATCTGAARACAAGAGTTTAATTACTGGTTAGACAAAAACTTAAATCATCTTTAAATACAGGCGCCACGCCACGCTCACCTTCTTTGCTTACAAGCTTGCTTGCTTTTTCCACTTCCCCCGAACTTGATCATGTCTTTACAGGCTGCGCATTTGCCACAATCAGGAGATTGGCACACCTGGACRTTCRGCATCCGTAAGTAAAAACAAACCCRACGGYCATTTAGGCACGTCCGCGTTCGAYCATTTACTTACCTCACAGACTCCACAGCGCTGTCTTTTAGCCCCGCCCTCTTTATCGTTCTGCTCTATCTGATCGGCGAAGAAGGCATCAAAAATCTGGTAGACCAGCTTGGTCGTGGTCGCCTTGGTCGGTCCCTTACTGTCCTTCTCTATCCTAGTTGGGTGACGGATGGCCTGTCTTCTGGCAGCTCGCCTGTCAAAAAGAAACAGCTCGTTTTTAAGAGGGGAGGGCAGAAAAGACCACCCGATCGTACGTGGAGCGATGGTATTGTGAAGCCGCTGGCCGTCAACACACCACAGCGTCAAGGCCATGCAACGGAGGAAGCACACAAAAGCAGTCGGGATGAAAAATGCAATCTGCATTAAAGCAACAGGCAAAAAGTTTCTTCCTAAAAAAGGAAACAAACTTGCCAGCAATGACATCAATTAGACAATTTACCTAAATTAGTAATTTACCTTTTCCTTTGTAAAAATTAAACMCTTTGACACTTTAGTTTTGAAAGTTATACATTTTAAGAGCAAATTTAAAAAAAAAAGAAAAGAAATTTTGCTCATGAGAACAAATTTCTAATTTATTTTTGCAAAATTCCACTAATTCCACCACACACTAAGAGGGTTTGAACTGGATCTATATTATGAGCACTAATTCACACTCMCTAGTGCTGTAATCACCAGATTTTAAACAAAGCCAGAACAATCAGCTGCACATAAAGCCAAAATATAATAAAATACATTAAAATAATATTGTAGTATGGACGGCGAAACGGTGGTCATTTTGCCTAAAAAGGTCTGAAATGCTTCACACTAACACACCAACAAACAACCTAAGGATGAAATCACATAAAGGCCTACCTACCAGTACAGCAGCATGCTGCATTAGGAAATGTTAAAGGCATGTTAGACATTAAGGAGTCAGGAGCATCAATTACTATAATTAAAATAAAACAATACTTGATCAAGTCAGTGAAACTCAAGCAAAAGGCTAAATAATTAGTATAATTTTAAGGCTCTGCAATCAAAGATGAGTTTAGGAGCTGTGACTACCTTCAGCTGTTACTGAGTTATGATCGATTCTCTTCAGCTGTACCTTTTCCCCAGAGTGACTCCTGCCAGTTTGATCAGATCTCTCATGCAGGGAGTGACAATGATGGGCTGCTCATCCGAGTCGCCGGCCTCGTCGTAACTCTCCACCTGCTCCACCACAAACTGGGCGTGGCGCAGCAGCGTGTCTTCAGTGAAGCAGTTGAAGTTGAGTCCTACGGGCGGGACGGTGGTCTGTGGGCAGCGAGAAGCAGGGTTCATGGGCACGGAGCTGCTTAAACCTGGCTTTACTTCTGTCGTTGCAAATAACATCTAGAACAGGGGGTCTTAACCTTTCTGACCTCAGGGCCCAATTTGTTGAACATAAAGTGGCACGAGGCCCAGTCAGACATTACCAATATATGGATCAAAATGATAATTATT